AAGACCTTCTCCCTTATGGTCTCCTTGCAAGGGCTGGTGGGTTCACTCATTGTGACCTAATCAGTAGGTATATATGATTCAAAATTGTTATAATAAAAGTAGCAAAAGTAATAATATAACTAGCGAAAATTAAAAATATTGACTGTAAAATATAAAATTAGATCAAAATATCGAATTCAGTGTAATAATCCAAAATTAAAAATAAAAAAATTATAAGCAATATTCACTTCTGAAGATAGTATTTGGAAAGCTTTAGAGTTTGCTTTAATAAAAAATTAGAATGGATAAAGTATGAATTTATCGACAAGCAGAAAATCTAATGAATCATGACTGAGTGAAGCATTCGCTCCATATTATATTTCCTTTACAAATTGTTGTTATTATAGTGCCATTTATGCGATATCAGCAGTGCCTCGTTACTCCAATGCATGCACAGAGGGAACGAAAAAAACGGATCAACGATCCACAGAGAGCAAGAGGAAAAGGTAACTGGTCACAAAGTCGGATCAAAGTTTACTCCCTTGAAGTCCGCATGGCCTTCGTACCCCTTAAAAGCTATTGAATTTTGCTGTTGTTGTCGCCGCCGCTTGCGGCTGCCCAACGCCTCCTGTTGGATACGCCTAACAGGCAGCACTGCATCAAGGGCACGGGCCCAGTCGCGCGCACAGCCTTCCTCCGGCTGCACATATGACCTGAGCACCTCAACGAGGTGGTTTATCGTGAGCACCACAGAACGGTTACACAGGTCAATGGACTCTTTGACGGGAAGGCGTGCGACACGCACACCGTGTGCTTCCGCACATGTCCTGCTTAGTCCTTTATAACGATTGTGGTCAACAAATGCGCCAATAACGTAAATGTGACCTGAATGGATGTCCTCAAGGATCTCATCGGCGTCAGCGCTGAGGAATACGACCTTCTCTTTGTGGAACAGTTCTGACCAGTGCTGATCAACGGCAACGGTTGGCGGAAACCTCTTAAAGCCCTCAAAATTGATCAAAGAGGCTTGAAGCAACTCTGCCTGCGCGCTGGCATCATGTTCAGTGTTTTGCTTTTCTTTACCTATCAAGGAAGAAAAAACAGGACGAAAAGGGAATCCCGCACGGCGCAGCGTACTATAGCTAAACTTAAGCTGCGATATTGTGCTCGTAGTCTCAGCAAAGCTCATGCACCAAGCGAAGCTGAGGTCGAACACTAATACAGGAAGTTCAGGGTCGACAAGACGCTGTCTGGTGGCTACCATGAAAAGTTCGTTGGCGTGACGACGTTCTTCGTGCATTTTTATAGCTGAAGCACGACACTTATTTTTCTCATCCTCGGTCAAAAGCTCCCACTTTGTTTTTTGTTCTGCTTTCCGTGAGGCAGACAGATTGCTTTTTTTCGCGCGCTTTTCTTGGCGCTTTTGCTTCCAGTATCCCTTATTTTCGTCCTTATCCAATGATTTACAACGTCCTTGAAAGGAATTATTTGAGTTTCTGACATACTCCAGTGGACAATCATCTCTCTCGTTCTGGCCTTGTCTAGTTAAATCGTTATTTGTGGCATCTTTATTAGCTGAAGAAGTGAAAGTAAAGTTGTTTCCTTTCAAGTTTAGTGCGTCACTATTCATGGTTCTTTTTATTGCTTTCTAATATATTTTTGGAGGGAATTGAGATGAAAATGTTAATTTCCTTAGAAAGAGGTAAAAAAGGCTCAATGCTTTCTGGTTTCATTCATTTTTGAGTCTATAGACGAGAAACTAACTTTATTTTAAAGATTTAAAACTTTTACTGATTTATAAGATAATATATATATATATATAATTGAAGAAAGTCTTTATAATAAATTTGATCTGTGTTAATAATAGAAAAATATTGATGCTTAGATGTATAAGTTAGAAAAAAAAGCATTCAAAACCAGAATTCACGAGGAAAGCAACTCTACCTACACAATACAACACAAATCAGTTATTTAGAATGAAAAAAAGTGATACCACTAACAAAAAAAGAAAATCGCTTAATTCAATATGTAATTATTTGAAGAAAAAAAGAAGATATATAATTAGATTTCAGTTGTTTATGAATAATATGTTTTCTTTGAACTCCCTAAAACCCACACAATGAGCACCAATATCGGAGACGCGTGTGATAATGGCACGGCCTTGGACCCCGGTAGTGGCAGCTGCCTTCAACATGGCCTCTGCCACCTTTTCCGCCAGCCGTTCCTCCGGTGGCTGTAAGAGGATGTCCCCCCGTCTGCCGCTCACCATCGCGCAAACAGTGGGCCCAGCTCCGGAAAGGAAGGTGTACTCTGCCCCCGTGGCTCGCGAGGCCTCCAAGCATGGGTAGTAGTGGGGGTAGAGCTTATCGGCTCGGTGTTGTTCATGTAAGCGGTCCGAGCAATCCTTCAGGATGTGCAACCGTCCTGATGTAAGAGCTAGGATTAGTAAGGAAGCTCGGGAAACGTTGTGGACCGCATCTTCCAGAGACACATGTGTGGGAATCAATCCGCGAGCCGTGTGTGTGTCCGCCTTCATTAGCTTATTGGGAACAAAGAGAACGAGCGCAAGGTTAGCAGGAACCGACACGCTATGAGAACCGACTTCCTTATTCAAATCGGTGAAGCTAAGACGAAGGCCTCCGTAAATGGCAGGGGCAGCGTTGTCAGGATGCCCTTCAATACGCGTGATCACAGATAGCAACTCCTCTTGATTGTACGTGGCCATCGAAAGACCACAAAGATGCAAGCCAGATACAAAGCCGGCAACCGCAGCCGCTGAAGAAGATCCACATCCACAGCAGTACGGAATACGATTCACCACATGAAACTTGAGGGGTGGCATCGGGCGCTTGCCGTACTCTGTGAAGGCTAATTCACAAGCCTTAACAAGCATATTTTCAGGGCCTTTACTAATATGTTTCTCGCCTTCTCCTTCCATTGTGAATGAGAACATGTCGGCCACCTCGACAAACAAATCCATGAATAAGGAAATCGCCATGCCCAAGGTATCATAAGCCGGGCCGAGATTAGCAGTAGTGGCTGGAACGCGCACGTGTACTTTGGTCAAAGTATTCGAGGCTCCACTGGTGTTTCTGTTAACCTCGAACGACATCGCAAAGAAAAAAATTATAGTGTAAATAATATAGATATACAAATATTATCAAATAGAAAATTACTTGATAAGAAATGACGCAAATGCAACAAGATATTAGATAAGAAAAGAAGTAAACTATACCCTCATGCGGGACACAAAAGGGGGAAGAACATAACTATTGTACAGACTCAATATAAAGGATTAAAAGAGGAATACTTATTTAATTAAGCTTGTTCATCGGCAAGCAATAGTAAAGCTTACTCTATATTAGTTATTAATTATGAGATATTGGTGGTTAAAAAAACTACAACTAACATCACTCACGTTTCAAACTGATTACAATTTCTATTTTCCCCAAAGATCCCTACAATTCACATTCTTAGTCCACTTCGTAAAAAATTCCATAGATTAGCATGCTATTTACTTCAGTGTGTTCGCATTTTGTGTTTCATCGACATGTCTAGAGAAGTGATTCTAATTCGCTCCCCAATGTAGAATCGCACACAACTCTAGAAATATATACATAAAACAATTCCACCTTGCACGTACTTCGCGCGTTGTTAATCTTAAACACCACTATATCAAAAAATTACCTTTCAATACCTATCCTTGATGACAAATGGCGTGTATATGTGGACAGTTTAACATGTTGAAAATTACCATAAGCCATTTGCATTTCCTTTTTACGCTTAAAAAATACTACAATATAACAACCCTTAAAACCTAAAATAATTATATTTTATAATTCTTACTCACGAGGGCGTTGACGAAAGACATTCATCTTTGTCTTATTCGTGCCGATGATCGGGCTAAGTTTCTTTAGCTCTTCGAGGGCCTTTACGTCTGGTGCGAAATCCATGAATACATAACCCCGCTCAGAGTTGTTGCGGAGAGAAAGCAAAGATGCCCCTACGCTCCCGAGCGCCACCTTGATCTCCTCGTCGCTGACAGCTACGTCGATGTTGAACATCAGGCGATCGCCTGTAGCCTCCATAGGTCTCTTTTCACGCTTCACATGCACTTTCGAGGGCTTCGCGGCAGGGGCCTCCGGCTCTTTCGCGGTGGCCGCGGCGGCCGCGTCGCCGGTGGCGCTGACAGCCACCACGCGAATGGGCTTGTTGCCCTCGATGCCGCCTTTCTTAGCCGATGAGCTCACCAAACTCGCCCAGCTCTTCAGTTTCGTGTCCTTTGTGATGGGCGCCTTGTCGTCCTTCACCGCCGCACTCTCTCCGGCAACCCCTTGAACGAGGGCCTCCTCCTCTACAGCTGTAGGCGTCGTCTCCTCGGGTTGGGCAGGAATCTCTTCCGGCCGCGTCTCCACAGGGGCCTCGACGGCCGGGGCCACGGGCTCCTGCTCCACTACTCCAGGCGTCACCTCGACGGGCGGGGCCTCGAGCGCGATCGCACCAATGCGGGAGACCACCTGGTGGCGGATGTAGTAGCCCTCCACGTTGAACCCCGTGTGGGCTTCCAGGGTGGTGAGAACGTGGAAGTACTGCTGCAGCTCCCCCACAGCGGTGAAGGTGACGAAGACGTTCACGCCGCCGTAGATCGGCGCTGCGCTGACGGACTCCACGCGCATATGATTGCCTTGGTATAACGCAGCCCATTCTTGGGCCGCGGTCGAGACATCGGCACCGCAAATCTCCTTGATGCCCATCTCAAAGTCGTGAATGTGCAAGACCGAGTTTCGTCCGTAGAGTTCGGCAAGATTGGCGGGGTTCTTCGCTACGCGCTCGAAGAACTCGGTCACAAAGCTGTTGGAGATCTGTTGTGCGGATGCCATGATTGAGTTATTGACCGTTAAAATTAGATAAAATAAAATTGATTCCTTTCTTTTTAAGTCGTGATTTCGTAGCTTCTGGATTCTACCTGCAGTATTAATGAGGTTAGAATTTCAAAGGTTTGGACACCTGCGCAAACTAACCTTTTAAAAGAGCTGATATTAACTATAAAGAGAAAAAGAGAACATTAAAATCCAAAGAGTTTGAATCATTTAAAAAAATGATACTATTCAGATAAAAGCATGTATGAAAAAAATAATCCAAAAAGCCCTGGTAGTAGAGAATCCATTTAAGATTTGTTTGTTTGTTTATTTTTGTGTTCTTTCTGAGCCCATAGAAATGGAAAAAATTCCACCCGTATACTCCTAAATCTTTCACCAATTTAGAGAGACATATCGTTAACATAGATGCTGGGTATTTGTATTTGCTAGAAAATAAAGCAAAGCAGTCAAAAATATAAAAATTCACTTATCTCTTCCTCCTAAAGACTCGTTAAGTCGTCGCATTTGATTTTCCAGTTCTCAAAAGTCGATTTACAAAACTCCACGCTCCGTGAGTCTATCAGTGTCTTGCAGGAGCGCATCGCACGCAGCGCACGCCGTGTTCCCACAACGTCAACAGCAATGGAAAGCTTCTCCAGTAGACTCGTGCACTGTCGACTATCCATTGTAATATGAAGTTCCGCATGCTGATCGGCGATTGCGAGCGCGCACTCCAAATCACCCGTGGATAGAGCCATTTCCATCGCCTCCCGGAGAAAGGTGTCGTCTACTGCGAGTTCACACTCAGCCATGCTGCGCATCAGTGAGCGCAGTCGATTCATCCCACGAAAAGCGGATCCCTCTTTCCGGTAGCTCCAGAGCAGCGCAGTGTAAGTAAAGCAAGTCGGCTTCACCCCGAAAGAGGGGTAAGTGGCGAGCACCCCCTCCGCGCCCCGGTCACCCTCGCCTAGCGCGCAAGCGGCAATAAAAAGATCCAAAGAAGCAGCGGTCACCTTTCGACCCTCCGCCGCGGCGATTCGCAGCCGCGGTAGCATCGCGCCCACCCCGCACTCATGGATCGATCGCACGACTTCCCCCACGGCGTCAACGGAATCAGCCATGATGCGGCGATTGCCGTTCAAAATCCTCGCCAGTCTCCCCGGGCGGTTTAGCGGAGGTGCGACCCCTTCAAGCACCTCCAGCGATTCCAACAGCAAGCCCGAACGAGCAAGCGCCCCGGCGTACAACGGCAAGATCAAAGGCTGATTTTCATCGGCAATAATGTTAAATGTCTCGTGCTTTTTTAGATACTCACACACATAACGCGCGGCATCGGCGTCACCCCATTTAAAGCACTTCAATAACAAACGAAAGACGGTAGCTTCGCTGTTTAGTAGCGGCGGATCAGCTGGAGTCTCTGCACAACTGGATGGTGCCAAACTCTTAGGATTAGCCGATGAACTCTGAAAAGGTGCAGTGGTGGAATGCCCACTGTGTTTTTCACAAGTCAACTCGTGGACTCTTAGGATATCCACTATATTAGACGGTGGGGTCTCCTCGTTCGTGACGCTCAAAATCATATAGGGTAGTAGTAAAGCCGGGGTGCAGCTCTCAGGGCGCAGGGTGTGAAGCAAATCGAAGCATTCGCGTATCACCACCACATCGTGATGTAGACGTATCAAGGTTTGAAAACAGTGCTGCACACGCAGCGGAAGTAGCGGAAACCGCGGCACCGCATTTCGACCCACAACCTCGCGAACCTCCGCGTGGATGACCTTCCACCATGAAACGCAGCTGTCCTGTCCAAGCCTCAAATATAAGATAAACACAGAGAGCTTTGTAACGATATCCGGTGTAGCAGCCTTGCACCGCATGAGTTCGATAACATTATCCACCTCGTTCTGACTATAGGCATCGGTCATGGAAATGGCTAATAAATACACGTTAAATAGCTCAATGGATGGCGATCTACCACCATTCAGTTCGAGCAAACACTGTGTGAATAAGAAGCGCATCTCCTCTAATTTATGCAAATCACACAGGACCTTTAAAAGTAATATGGTAAATGGCTCGACATCTTTAGCATCGCCACAAAACTCAGTAAGTGGCTTGCGAGACGTAATCCTGGGGCTCACACTTCCTAAAGAGGTTTTTTGGTTGTCGTATATGAACTCACTTCGACAGGAGAACTCAAATTCCTTAAAGACCTCTTCGGCTGCCAATAACCCCTGTACCCCCTGCTCCATGGAGTGCAGAACTCGCTGATAAGGACGAACTTGATTAATATGCGCGGGGACTTTGCTTCGCAAAAAGGCTAAAGGCCGGAACATACGTTCAAGAACCCAACGGCTGCTTTTTTTTTTTAAAGCTAGGTATTATAAAGAATCGTTCGCGTTTTTGGTCTTGTTACTCCTAAAGAAACAAGAGAAAAAAAAACTCCCTTGTCAAACCAACCTGGTAGATGATGCTCATTGAAAATTGTGATAAATTAATCACTACAAAGGGAGAAAAAAGAAACAATTGTAGCGCAATTTTCCAGATGTTAAAATAACTTCGTTGAAAATGCTTCCATCTGAATTAGGTAGAAGAAAACACTTTATCCCATCTATGGAAAGATTAGCTGTATTTATTAACTTCCGATTCAAGAAATAGTTTGTCAGATATTCATTATGTAATAAATTTTGCAGCTGTAAAATGAAAACCCTGATGAAGTTCCGCCATGGAAGCTAAATAATATACAAGCACGGTTCGCTCAGCCAATATTCGCATTCTTTTCATAAATTTCATTATTCAACTCAATAATAGAGTCCCGTCAAAATTAATTGAGTATAAGTACTTATTGAGCATGTTCCCAGATTCGCTGATGAATTGGTGTCATTCTAAGACAGCCTAAACTAGCTCTAGAAATTAAAATACTTTATTCCAAGTGTTCTAGCTATTTGATCCATAATCTAGTTATCCAATCGAAAACTGAATACACCAGGTGTTTTATGCATTTAAAAGCATGTACACCATAGTTCAAATTTTGAATAGTCGAGTATGTGAGCGCGTGTTTGAGTGTGTGGGAAAGGGAGAAGGGGGCTAGCAAAGATTACCATATCCTGCATCGATGAAGGTTATAATGCCAGGGGAGATTGATGATAAATTGCAAAGAATTTTTTGAAATTACGTAAAAACCTCAAAGCGATCTTAAGACAACTGCAATGTTCTATGACCATGCACAGGGGGTTGCACCTTCCATCTTTGCATTTTTCAAGTGGAGAGTTCCATCGGCTTCTTGTAAAAGATTAAAAGAAAAAGAAAAGAATCATCCTTGATACTTAATTCTTCGTCTTTGGATTACTTGCATGCCTACCCAACGTACACCCTCTACTTAAGGTTGATGTTATACGCTTGGCTTAACTACATCCTCTACGACCGGTGACCTCACATAGTTAATTTTTATCGCCACATAGCCCGGTGCAAACTCATTCACCGTTCGATTGGAAATCTCGTACTCGGTAAAGTACTCCGGTTCGACGCCGATGGGGTGGGTGCGGTGGTAGGCCTTTCCGACGGCGCTCTCGGGGTCGAGAAAAACGAGCACGGTGAAGCGCTGTGGGCGAAAAACGCTGAGCACATTGGTGATGCGCGCCGCGTAGTTCGCGTCGTGGCAGTTCGTCTCGTAGGAGGCGAAGGAGCAGTGGTCCTCCGGGGTGATGTGGATTGTCTGGTACTCCTCCCCGCGCACGGCATTCACGCTGTAGCCGCAGGGCTCGAACTGCAGGTCGTGCAGTGTCCAGTCCCCGTCGAGGAGGCGGTCCAGCCGCGTCTCGGCGCGGATCCCCGCGGTCTCCACCCCTGTTGCGAGGAAGCAAGGGCTGAACCAGTGCCGGGTCTGGGCCTTGTCCAGGCCGTACATGGTCATGTTGAGCTGTGTGTCATCCTCGGTGCTCTGCGGACGGATGATGTCGTCGTAACAAAAGAAGATGTAGTGGTCGCTGTCCACCGGGCCGAGGATGTAGGTCTTCCCTGTGGGGAAGTGACCCTTCAGCGTGGCGATCTCATCAGAGAGGGAGGTGTGCGGGCCGCGCTGCTCCCACGGAAAGGAGTAGTTCTTGTGCATAAAGGACGCCCACTCCAGCTCCGCGCGGACCGCGCTGATGGCCTTGAGGATCGCAGGGATGCTGTTCAGCAGGGTCGTAGTCCCGCACGTGATGAGGATAATGCGATTGCTCATCACAAAGAGTGAGCTCTCCGTCAGAACGTAGCTTTTGATATGAGCGTTCTTCTCCTTTGAGACGATTTGGGCATTTAAGGTGCCCACCACATGAACCCACACGTCATCCTCGAGGCTGTACAGACCGTCGGGGTGGGTTTCGGGAAGAAATCGGATAATCACCTCCAGACGCTTCTCCGGGCCCTCAAAACTGAACCCCTGATCAGGGTTATAGTCCTTCATCGAGCCCCACATCGCCATAAATGTGACCGGATCTTTGGCTGACATCACAACTGGCGCTTGAAATCGAAAAAGCGAACAACGCGAAAAGTAAACAAAGCCTAAAAAAAAACCTTCACAGGTGTCATGTATTTTTCCGAGAAATAAAAAGAATAAAAATCAGGACATTCGAACCAGACTCAAAATGAAAAGTCAACCACAGAAATACTCCCACCTCGTGTGAAGCTATGGAATCGACAGTCAAAAATTTTATACATATAAAACTTTTTCCGGAAATTAAAAGATATCAATACGAAAAAAAAATGAGATTCACGATTTACTCCTTATGATTAAAATACTTTAACAAACCTCACGCCTAAATTAAGATCAATTTTATAGTACTTTTATCGCTCATTTATTTTTTAGATTTCAATCACCAAGCACAATATCGTTTCTTAATTGTAAGTTTCAACAGCAAAAAAAAATATTCACCAGAAATATCAAAGATAGACACATCTTAATATGATATGAATTTTGTCATCACACATTCATAACGGTAGGTAATCATAAGTGATTATCCTCATTGATATATCTTCAGGAGTATGACTCAACGTATCATTTTTATAACATTTTTCATTTGTTAACTCCCTTCATGTGGAGACATCGATTCTTGGAAATAAAAATCACGAAAGTAATATTGTAATATCGGAACAAAATACACAAATATCAATAACTATACTGATCCTTAAAAAAAAATGGGGGGTTAAAATTTTGCAATGCTACTCGGTGCTAGTATTCTTTTCATTATTTTTTTATTATGTCTCTTCCTCCTCCTACATAAACAAACAAAAATGTTTTCAATAATATTCCCAAGCACTTCCGACAAGGATCTATATTTTCAGCATGGAAATGGGGATCAGTAGGAAAGAAATTGAACAAAAAAATGAAAATGAATGACGCAGCTACTTCTCGATAATTTTCTCATTAAACTTTTCACACCCTTCATCATAGCTAACTTCATTCTTCAAACATGTACCGTCTTTTTTTATAATTCAGTATTCTAAAATTCGTGGATGATATGCAGTTGCATAAATAAAGGCAAATAGTATTTGCATTTTTACATTGGACAAACAATAAATACGCTTTACCTGCAACGTGTCCTGAATATATAAAAAAGGAAAATATATAAATATATATTACTACTCTGTTATCTTCTTCCTCTCCATCTTAGATAAACTTTCGGAGGTGTACGCACCACCAAGGTATTCTCATTTGAAGTGTGAAAATTTAAAATTTCGTTCAAATTTGCTTATTGGCTCTTTATTTCAGAAAACGAAAAAGAGCCACGGTAAAAGACTAGCACCAAAACACCATATGGCGAAAAAAATGTAGATGCTTCATTCATTTCTCAACTTTAATAAAAAAGTCTGGGAAATGAAAAGCTCGAGTAAACGCTTGTTTTTAACTTTTATTCAAATAAATCCATTATAAGAATGGAGGCATAGTAGCTCATTAAAAAAAATTAGCCTTAATACAGAACGAGCTTTAAGAAAGATACATGGAATTATATTCGGTTAGGATAAAAATAAAAAAGATTAAGATAAAGGCAAAATACTCTATGCATGTGTAGGCTGCCATTTTGCGTAGTTCAAGAACTGAAGCACAAAGAAGGATGTTGCCGTTAGCAATAGCATTTTTAGTGAAACATTATAAATTAAAATATAATATTTTTCAAAAAAAATAAGAATATTAATAAGAATAAATTAAAGCGTTTCTCTTTCTACACGGTGCAAGCAAAACTTGAAGCTACTGAAAACAAAACCCAATATCGTATTTGTCGCAACAATAAAAATCAGCCCATGAAAAGGAAAGATCCATTATTGGGGCATAATTTTTAGCTCACCCCTGCAAATGTATCGCTCCGCTAGTATAAGAAATATACTCACTGAACTTCTTTCCTTCTTTTGGGACTGTTTTTTTTCAATGACAAACTACATTGGATCGTGTAAATTTCAGTAAACGCTCTTCATTTTTGCTTATTCGTCAATTTACCGGCCAGTCTGAGAATACCAGTACACCTCCGAGATGACGACGTGCATCATTCCGTCGCCACCTCAAAAAGGGAAACAAAAAGGGAAAAAACGATGTTTCGTTTTATAGTACACCCTTTTTGATTCATCCCTTCCGCTCTTTTTGTCATGGTTCCTCATTTATTCGCTTATATTGTTGTGCCATATGTAGAACACAAGTCTGAACATACACGAACACAGAAGAACAAGTCCAAAAAGGAAGCTCAGCTTACCACGATTGAAAAGAGGAATGCCCCCCGTTAGAGACTGGAGAAAGATGTAGTAGAAGTACATTCATTGTGTAGATAATTTAAAAGCGACAATTCGAATGTCGGTACGTGGAAGAAAAGTGAAACACGTCATGGAAAGAGAAAGGGGTTTTAAAATTATTAATAATACAGTTACTCCCTTTCATTTTTCCTCTTTTTGGTTTCACGAAAAAGTAGCAGTGTTCGATTACACAGTGTTAAGGGAAGGATGCATCACTACTTGACGTTGAAAATACGAAAAATTGGGTAAAAGATCACATCGAGTAAAATGAACATTTATTTTAAAAAGTAATGAGACAGCGGGGGAAGAAGTTAGCCCTAGCAACCAATACGTCTGATCATATCATCATACTTTTTTGATCAGTCGGTTTATAAGGGGCATTCGGGTTTTCGTAGCATGCAAAAAGTGGTGTTTAGTACCAATAATACTCTCTTGGTAAAACAATAAAAAGACAAGAAATCGTTATATGGTAGAATTATGAAGGTGTAGGAAACAGCTATCTATTTTTACTAGACATATTTCTTGTTAATTCTACGTCCTTAACCTGAGGGCTACAACAAATGAAGCCACTATTGAAAATAGATTCCTTATCTTCTTATCCATTTTTCCATTCGAGATATTGGCTCTGTAAACTGGCGAAAAAAACTGGGGTGGAAAGAAAAATCTTTCCGTGATTATTTAAAAAATTAAAAACATTATGATAAGTAAAGTAAATGATATCAATTAGAGAGTTACTCTCTAATTAATACCATTTTTTTTTCGAACTTAATTAAAATCTAAGAACGTTTATTTATTCCTAATATTTGTCTTCAGCGTAAACAAAGTCTAAAAAAGCTATTGAAGTATTTTTATCTTTATAAACCATGACAAGAACTTTTGTCCCTGTAATTTCTTCAATAGATATATTTTATCTGGATAACAATACCTTCGATACACCAATACTTCCTTTTCTACCGCCAATGGTAGCTATTTTCTATCAGCATTATTCTTCGGCAGAAACAAAAGTCAATTGACAAAATGAATATCCTTCACGAAACTGGTTGGTGAGGGAACTTTGAAACGTGTAGCCAGGTAAAGTGTCGTAAGTGCGACAAAGCATACCAGGATCCATATTTCGATCTTGAAGTGCAAGCATAACAATTTTCGAGGGCTTGAACTTCTTCAGTAGCGACTGCAGTCGTACTGGAGATTCCATAGCGCCTAGTGCGTTGGTCTCAAAGGAAATGTATGAAATATCGTCGAACGTACGTATGAACTCGTAAGTGTTTCCTTCCAAATGTATCAGTTGATGTGCAGTTTTGGGAATCGACTTAACGTCGGTGGTTGCCTCCTCCTCCTCTTCGCGTACGATGTCATATAGAAACACGTTGATTTGCACATCCTGCTCCACTGCCGCATCCTCCGACCGGTCAATTGCATCAAAGGTAAAGAAAAAGTAATGCTCGCTATCGACGGGGCCTAACAAAAAGGACTGACCTGTAGGAAAGGCAGCTTTCAGCTCAGCGTACTCCTGTGCCATGATGTCGCTCGTCTCGTACTGCGTGTTCCACGGCGCCATGGTGTTCCTGCGGGAGAAAGACATCCACTCCACCTGTATGCTAAACTGCCTGAGAAGATCCAATAACGGCCCCAAGATGTGGTGCAACATTACCGTTGAGGAACTGTTTATCGTTAGCATTTTCGAAGTGAGTACGATCAGGGTTCGTGAGAATGTGAATGCTTGAAAATCGCCTTCACACGAGTGATGTTGAAGATATTCATCAACGGTCCCCATAAGGGTCTCTATATCAGCTACACTCAGTTTTCGGATTGAATTCTGATATTTAAAGTCTACTTCGAGGCGTTTTTCTAGACTACTATCGCTGCCCTCCGATAGTGGTGAAAAACCACACCACAGAGACATCAATGCATGAACGGACTGAGGATATTCATTACGAGAGCAAGACCATGAAGACATTTAGATTGTTATTTAAATGGAAAAAGGGGAGCTTAAGATAAAATTAAAAGCTTGAAATTTTTGAAAAAATGACTTATTATTTTAACGACTAGAGCTTCACTGAGACTATAGCCAAATAAAAGGACAATAAATATATATATATATCGCATTCATATTGCATAGTCAATAAAAATATGTTAAGTTGATAAGATAAAACATATTGGTCATTAATTCGAATCATTGATTACGTTGTTAGCATTTCCATTTAGTTAGTAAAAATATCGTACTCAAAATTAGAAAAAACTTTCATGAAAAGATAAAAATGAGGTGTATTCACAACAGGGATGAATTGGAACTAAAACTTAATAAGTCATAAAAACGTAATCATGATATAATCGCATACTAGTTTAGGTGGAAAGCAATATTCCATTGCGCTCTATGCCGTAATTCAGCTACAGTGTTATTGTAACACGATTCAATCCTACAAGGAGGTTATTGTAGCTGCATTATGTGGAATCACACAATAAATTAGATTAACTCTCTTTATACCCCTTATTCGTCCTTCAAGGCTTGCATTTTTTTGATCATCTCCTCCAATTGTGTTTGTTGCTTCGAAAGTGTATCACGCTTCGCATCATTCATGTTGCGAATTTCTTCAGGTACCTTTGTCTCATAACCTTGCATAGACATTTTCTTCTTCAACCCCTCAATCTGTTTCAAAATAGTCGCCAACTGACTCTCAAGTTTCTTTATCTCCTTATCAATATCAATAAATCCCGTTAACACCATGTAGACACTAATCTCCTTGGAAATGGATGAAGAGCTACAGCCCTTTGGCACCGCTATAGCTTCTTCCTCAGGTGCTATCGTCTTGACGTTCCCCACTACTCCCAGTGTTGAGATTATGAGAGCCTTCTGCTCGAACAACGCCTTGATGGCGGGTGTGTGTGCGAGAACCCATATCCCAGGCTTGTGCTTGTTCGTCAACCCATAAGAAGCCTTGGTGGAACGCACACTGTGGACGACATCAAGAATGAGCTTCATCGACTCTTCGACCTCACTGTTGGACCATCCACTCGTTTCGGGGTAAGGTGCTAGCATGATAGTTTGTACAGTGAAGGTATCATAGTGCGGTAGACGGTGCCATAACTCTTCAGTCAGGAACGGCATCATCGGGTGCAGCAGTCGTAGACCCTTTTCCACTATATACAAGAGCACATCCTGAACCAGCTGCTTATCTTGACCGTTGTTCTGAATAACAGGTTTCGTGAGCTCCAGAAAGACGTCACAAAGTTCATAAAGCCAGAAGCGATACACCGCGTTGGTTGTGAGAGCAAAATCATAGGTGCCCGAGGACATACCACGAGTTGCTTCCTCAATAGCAAAGTCTAAGCGAGATAAGATCCATTGGCACTCTAGCGGCAAGATCGAGCGGTCAAGTTCGGCATCAAAGGTCATTTTTTTAGGGTGGTAGTCCGTCCCGAGGGCATGGTACAGGGTGTACCGCACGACATTCCATAGCTTATTGCAGAATTGGCGGTACGCAACAATACGGGCGATATCAAGGTTGACGTTTCGTCCAGACTGAGTATAGGACAACAGGCCAAATCGAAGGGCGTCGCTACCACATGGAATAATCCCCTCCGGATGGCTTTCCTTCTGCAGTTTGATGGCCCTCTCAACCTCCTTCGCGGGAAGGTTGCCGCTGTAGATGGTTTCGTGGAGCTGCTCCAGGGTGGCCCCGTGGACAATAAAAAGGGGATCAATCACGTTGCCCTTGGACTTTGACATCTTCTCGCCGTTCTTGTCGCGCACCATCGCGTGTAGAAAGACATCCTGAAACGGGAGCTGATCAACGAGCTGCAGCGATGACATCACCATGCGGGCGACCCAGAAGAACAAGATGTCGTGCCCCGTCTCCATAAGCGAAGTTGGGAAAAAGCGGCGCATGTCGTCGGTGTCGTCCGGCCAGCCGAGTGTAGAAAACGGCCACAACGCCGAGCTGAACCACGTGTCCAGCACGTCGGGATCCTGGTCATACGTGGCGGCCTCGGCTTCGGCCTCGGTCAAGTTGAACTTTTCTCGCGCCTTCACACGGGCCTCCGCCAGGTCGCGAGCGACTATCCATGGGTCCGGGTGAGAATCCAAAGTCCCCGACCCCTCAAGGCGGACTATGTAAGAGGGGATCCGATGTCCCCACCAGAGCTGTCGGGAAACGCACCACGGCTTGATGTTCTCGAGCCAGTGATACCACACGGCCTCGTGTGAGGCCGGAGTCAAATTGAGCTGCTTATTCCGCACCGCCTCGACGGAGCGGCGGGCCATTTCCGTGCAATCCACAAACCACTGCATCATAGGCAACGGCTCGATGATATCACCCGTGCGGCTACACCGGCCGACGCGGTACTCGTACGGCTCTACACCCCGCAGAAGGCCCATCTGATCCAGTGCCTTGACGATTTCGCGTCGGCAATCGAAACGGTGCATGCCCTTGAAGGGACCCTCCATGCAAACAATACCACTGAGATCCATCATGGTGAATTGGGGAAGATTGTGGCGCTGACCGGCCTCAAAGTCATTGGGGTCATGTGCGGGTGTAATCTTCACCGCACCCGTACCAAAGTTCATGTCCACCAGTGTGGAGTCCAACACAACGGGGATAACTTCATCTCGGAAAGGGCACTTGAGGAATTTGCCGTGAAACGCCTTATAGCGCTCGTCGTCGGGATGGACAGCAACAGCGGTATCCGCAAGAAGCGTTTCGGGACGCGTCGTGGCGATAATAAGCTCACCGTCGCCGTCCGATAGTTTGTACGCGATATTCGTCAGAACGCCCATGTCAACTTTCCGATTGTAGTTGGGGATACTGAGCTTGGAGTTCTTGCCCACATCCACAAACTCCACCTCAAGATCCGAAACGGCGCTCTGCAGCGTGCAGCACCAGTTCACCAGGCGATTGGCGCGCTTGACGAGGCCCTGTTCGTGCATCCGAACAAAGGCCTCGACGACGGCTCGGCTGGAGTGCGAATCCATCGTGAATCGCTCCCGGGTCCAGTCGGACGATAAACCGATCTCGCGGAACTGTTTTGTGATAAACCCGGCGTGTTTGTCTTTAAAGTCCCACAGGCGGCGCATAAACGCCTCCCGCCCGATCTCCTGACGGGTCTTCCCCTCCTGCTTCATGAGCAGCCGCTCCACGACGACCTGGGTGGCGATCCCCGCATGGTCGGTCCCGGGCAGGTATAGCGTATTATCGCCCTCCATGCGGTGAAAGCGGATGAGAGTGTCCTGCACCGCCCCGGTCAGGGCGTGGCCGAGGTGGAGGTGCCCCGTGACGTTCGGAGGGGGGGCGATGATCACAAACGACCGCCCATTTGTCGGTCGGTTCGTGTCGGAGGCGGGCCGAAAAAACCCCGAGTCCTCCCACCAGCCGTACCACCCTCTCTCGACCTCCGCCGGGTCGTACGTAGCGGCCATCTCACCGGTAAGGGACTTCATCAAAAAAGACAGCCGTCGAAACGTTGCAAACGGGTGTGGAATTGTGTATGGTTATCGAATGCACGTGATAGGTAGATAAAATGCAACCCTATTTACTTTTTTTTTCTCTTTTTTTTGGAGGGGAGCAATTAAGATGGAAAGGCTAGAAATGATTTTTGAGAAAAAATATATATCCACTTAGCGTAAATAAGTACCAGAGAAGTCCAAAAACTATATGCAGAAAGTATTAAAAATAAAAAAGAATTATATTTAATCCTTAAGCACATCTCTAGGTTTTTATTTATATACCCTTCTGTAGTGCATCAACCTGTGAATTTAAATTTCGAATAAAGGGCGTCTTTTCATTTCACCTCAGAGAACAGCTTAAAGAAGGAAAAATATTAATAGCATGTGCTCACTATTTTTTCTTTAGACAACTCTGAACTTTCAAAGTCGTATATCTATAAAAATACAAGCATATTTATAAACAAGCTGATAAATGGATAGGGATTGATAATCTTTTTAGTGGAATACGCTCCTTCAAAGAGACTTACTTACTAATATAAGTCTCATTCATGTATATAAATATCACAGAGTGTAATTATATAGCCGAAAATAAGTAAGCAAATAAATATAGATTTATACTTATCTATTTACTTTGTCCATTCATAAACGTCAGAAAAGCAGACAGATGGGCACCGTACATAAAAATTTGACCCATGGTCAACTACAAATACGTAGACATATGTAAGTAAGAATTAATACGTAAATGAATTCATACATATCAATATATTTGTACGCTAAGGAAAATTTTTCTGTCCTTAACGAAACGGGAAAAAAACGATTATGGATCTTATTTTTCCTATTTTGTGGAAACATCCTAATTATGGTTCTTGAAATGATTTTTAAGCAGACAATATACTCATTACCGCACAAGCTTCCCCAGAAAGCAACTAGTTACTTACGCTTGTTAATTGCTTGCTAGTGATGACAAATTACTATTATTTTCCCTCTCAATTATTACCCATAACACTTTGGAGAAAGGAAAATAAAAAGAGGCTCCTGGCTATGAAGGGATTAATGTAAGTTGCCATGTCTTTGTAACTGAGATTCTCTGAAAATTTAAATAATTATAATAAAAGAAACCTCTACAGAAAACCCTTTTTGTTACCAAATAATGCATCAATGCACCATTTTTGGATAATGAGAAAATGTATTTCAATATAACAATAAGACAGTACGTTTGATTTTCATATGATTATTCATGAGTCAAAAACGATAAAGGATAGGAATACTCGAACAAACCACAACCTAGTAATATAATCAAACCGTAGTTGAATATAATTACTTACTACAGCATCAGTTTCCCACCAGCTCATCTTCCTATTTTTCTAATTGCTCACTTGAAAACACTGTTATCCCATGCTTTATTGGACGACACCGCCAATAGATTGTTTTTTGCACGTGTTTGGAAGTGCTTTGTGTATATCAAAGCGCACCTCAAGTTTCGAAAATATGAACTATAAAAAGGTATATATTAAAATTTTTTGTGAAGTTCAGTTTGGATACTATGGTATTCTCTCTCTTCAAGACATAGACCTCAAAAAAATTTCCATCTAACAAGCCACGCTGATAAAGAAGGGAAGTTTTTTTTACTGGTGCTGAAATACAATCGATTATTTGCCTTTAAAAGACATAAAGTAGATTCAACGCATATGGGGCTTCTTTGCTACTTGTTACTGTGCTTAGTATTAGCCCTTAATAAAATTAATAAGCTACAAAAATAACTTTCCACTTAGTGCAAGTTTCTCCAATACCTTCAATTGAGGTGTCTGTCGTGCTTCCAACTCATTATCATGATATTGGTATTCCAAATGCCGCATCTTATTGTTCCATAACATCATTGAGGACAGCTTCGCAAGAACGTTGTGATAGGGATCAGGGGAGAGGTTAAAGATGGCGTTGGCGCCCCAATACTCCTTCCCAATATCAGCCACAATCCTCTTCCACAAAGAACGATTCTTTACCCGCTCCGGATCTCTGAAATAAGCCTCACCGATCAACAGCCGCAACATGATGTGATGATCTTGGCGCTTGACATTAGCAGCTTTGTTCTGGTTTAAAATAAAATTATTCAACTTATTCTGACGAACAGCGAGAATGCGATTGCAGTCAAGATCCCGGTTCACGCGGCTTGGACCGTGAATCAGGTAGTGGTGTTTAGCATCTTTTTGTTGACTACTTTTGAGTTTCTCATTTTTCACGCCTTCATCAGTTTCCAAAGAAATACTTAAATCGCTTTGTTGCGTTCGAAATGATTCGAAACTTTTCGGTCCAATTGAAGACACATCAGAACAAAATGACTCGTTAGATGATTTAAATTGGAAATCCTCTTCTGAGTCAAGGCAACTAAAGATGTTCATCTCCTTGGCAATAATCATGTTATTACCATTCATTGGTGCTTTCTAATGGAAATCGAAAATGAAAAAATGTAAAGGATTATGTATACAAGTAAAATTATATATAATTCCTATAGAGCGAAAAACTTTCCAAGCGATATTTTCTATCCTGTAATTTAAAAACTAAAAAGCAAAGTACTTTCTAAAAATATGCTCTACACGTTTCAAGGAATCTTTTGACACTATTAGATTTACCTATCTATTATATTCAAGAAAGATATATAATAACAAAAAATCAAAATGCAGACACAAATGAAATAAAATAGAACGACAATTTTCAGTCATATCTTCTAACACATAATTTCCTCTTTAGCATGAAATTAACAATAAAAGATTACACATTTTTGGATGCATTTTCATCATTATTACTTAAAATACAACAGTACTTTATATACACATACATGTATATAAAAATCCTTTCTTTAATCAAATAAAGAAGCGAATGATATAAAATTTTATATACCAAATACCACCACCACACCCTACTCGCTGTTGTAGTTGTTCTACCACAGTTTACTTATTTTTTCACTCTCAGCTGCATTACACATTAAAGACAACCACAGTCGTCAATCCTATCCGAAAAAGAAATGTTCTACATTTTACCTCACCATTGCATGTAGACTTAAAGAAAAAAAAGCCCACTTCAGAATTTACTCTATTATGACAATTTTTTGGTTATACCTAAACGGATTAATTTTGGGAGAGATACATTCATCCTCCCCCCACAATCATCCATATTAATGAGTTCAGCGATTTCGCTTCGAGCGTCGGAGTATTTCGTTAATCATAGACTGTTTCACATGGTAAAGAACGTATGGGAAGAGCGTGGGAATGCATCCAAGAAAGAGGTATGCCGTCGTCTCCTTGATGAAGCGTGCGTGGAGACGATCGTACCGTTCTCGTGTGAGTACCGACAGCTTACCGCGGAAAGACTCATCATCAATGTCTTCGCCCCTAAAGTATGCATCCCCTTCGCGTATCAGATTGCTGTACGTTGTTTGCGACGTCATGTTGTAGCCCTGCTCGAGATTATACTGGACAACGGTGAGGCCGACCAGGTAGCTTCCCAGCTTAGAGGGCTGGACGTGGTAACGCAGAGTCTCCGATCCATTGTAGGGGATCGAGTCCACTTTCTTCTCCTTGGCAGTGCCGTTTTCTAGCATGTCAGTGATAACCACGTCAAAGGCCGGGCTCTGGCCATAATTATACACCGTGGTAACGATTTCTACCGAGGATCCTAACGCAAGGTCATCGCTGGAGGTGGTTTTAGATACAAAAAGAAGAGGGTCAATATTTTGGACAGAGTTATCCTCAGTGGTCTGTGCAAAGCAAAGACTAGAGGACAAGGCTGCCGTGAAACAAAGAATTGCTAGAAATAAAAAAAACTTCATGGTGATAAGTGTACACTTTCCTTCAAACTTTTTAAGTGGTAGAGATAAATCTAACCAATAATCAACTATATAGCGTGTGAAAACTGGGCACAAGTGAAAAAGGAAGTAACATGAAAAGATAATTTATCAAGCAGCAAAGTGAACCAATGAGACACAAGAACAGAGTGCAAAGGTAAAAAAAAAAAGAAATATAATCCAACGTCACAGAAAGCTTTACAACAGAGTAGATGACAGTGACAAATGATATATACTGAAGTTGCTGCTGACTCTTATTGGTGATGTTGAAGTACTATCTTGGTAGAAAAAAAAGGCTGATCTAAGACTTCTGAAACAAGTATTATGAGAAGACGGAGTAAAATTTAGCAGAGTAAGATATAGAAACACTATAACGTATTACTTTTATGCTCCAAATTTTGCAATGCGAAGAGAACGAATCACAAACGAAGGAGCTCCAGACGCTTAATTGTTAACTTAGATAGCTCTAGATTATGATCTTGCAAAGCTTTACATACCTTCGCGTGACCATGAAGCTTGCAAAGGTGCGTAAAAGCATCGCGTGCTGCTGCGGCTACTTGTCCAATATCCACCAGGTGCTCCATGCCACGATCGATATAATCCCAATTCTGAGTTTCGATCGCATATGCAATAAGTGGCGCCACCACATCCACATCGCTTAGCACACGCGCCTGCTCTAAGTGCTCCGATAGCGTCTGCAGGCTACAACCACTCTTTAAAATAAACGGCAGCACCTGGTCGTACGGAACCGAGTTCTTGGGGCAGGCGGATATCATCTGAAGCACCTCCTTCCACCCAAACTGTGACATTAGCGGCCAAATCACTGAGACGTCGGCGCGGGTGAAGCGAGTATGGCGCAGAATATCCACCGCGACGTCCGACCGTTGCCGCATCAGGGAAACCTGGGCGAGGTTGCTGCGTGTCACCGTGGCAAAAGGGGTGCTGTCCACCAGCTTCTTCTCCCAGTCCTTGCCGGCGGCCTTCAACAAAACGGCACAGGCCTCGGCGATGGCGATCTGCTGCGCCGGCGCGGAAACGGAGGCGCCGCTGAGCGCCGCGCTAATGATCTTGCCATCGCCGTTGTTCAGGGCCTCCCAATACGCCCCCCATTCCACCTCCTCGGGTGTCTTGCGCTGAAATATCGCGGACAGGGTAATCTTTTCATTGAAACGGCTTTTCACATCTTCGACCCCAATACCCGTGGCATGCATGATGCTCTTCAGGAGGTCATACGTGTCGGAAGGAGGGGCATGATACGGATGGCGCTGGTAAATGTGAAGGGCCCGCACCCAATCACCAGATTCTAGCGCGGTCTGGAAGGTTTGCGGAAGGGGTGCTGCCCTCCATACTTTATCTATACCTCTAGATTTCATACTTATTCTGTGTCTTCCTTTAACACTTAGGATAGTAGATGGACAAATAATGAGGGAGGTGTAACCATAACTTGGGTAGAAAAGATCTTTTGAAAGCTAAAGCTAAGTTGCCATTCAGAAATTGTTCAGTATGGCACTCTTATTAAGATTAATCAGTCTAGATGGGTGGTTATCGTTCCTCTACATGTCATTGTTTCCGTGTGAACATTAATTCAAGATATAAATATAAATGAAATGGAGTGGAGTGGAATATACATTTATAAGTATTCGATAAAGGACATTCCTCCTTGTTACTTGACCTCGTCTTACGGAGTTCTCCCTACATGTTTCCTACCAAACGTACCCAATAATGACACTGAATTGGCTTCAACAAACGTGTCATGAGGTTTCACTAAGAGAATTCATTTGAGGTAAATATTTTTCTTTCTCATCAGGTTTGAGATAGCGAATTGGGGCGAACCTACCAAGCTTTGACATATGCTCCTCTAGCAGCTGCGCACGAGCGCGTCGGATATACTCCTGTATCTCTTCCTCGCGTTTACGTTCCAGTTTATCGACTTGCTCCTCGATTTTCCTTTCCTCATCTTTGAGTTTTTGTCGGGCTTCCATCTGTCTCTGAGATTCCGCGATGATTTCCTTTTTGCGCTGAAACTGCAGCCTCTTGTTCAACTGATCCAACTTGGCATTTGCAGCAAGCTCTTCCATGAGCCGTTGGCGATACGCCATCTCCTCGGCTTGTTCCTTCTCACGTGCTTTACGGTGCTGCTCGATAAGGTCAATATTTTCATGCGCAATTGCAGCACTCATACGCTCACGGCTTTCCTTCTCGGCCTTTAGCAAAGCCTGTTCCTTAGCAATGTGCTCTTCTTTGTAATAGTTGTACAAGAGCTCTTCTAACTCCTCCTTCTTTCGCTGCTCCTCAATTATAAAGCGACCCTGTTCCTCAAGAATATTAGCCCTCACCTGGTTCCGCTCACGGAATGTCTTTCCATCCGCCTCCTTGCGTCGGTTTTGCTCTGCAAGATAAGCCAGGATGGCAGCCTCCTCCTTGGCCTCCCGTTCCTGCTCTGCCTTCTTCAAGGCCATACGAATGCGATAAAATTCGTCCTTCTCCTCTTGGAGTTTCCGTTGCTTTTCCTTCCGTTCAAGGGCATTGAGGAATTCCTTTTCATTAACACGAGCCACCACCGCGTCAACGGCAATCCGCTCTCGCAGCCGCTCACTCACCTCCTCGAGAGCAGCCTGTTGGTGTTCCCTAATAAGATTTAACTGCGCTTCTTGATGCTCCCGGAAGCGCTGGATTTCCCGTAAACGCTTCTTCTCCTCCAAAGCTTCAGCTTGCTTGCATTCCTCATTTAGTACTTGAAGATACTTTCTTTGTTCTTCCACCTCTTGCTCCCTGGCAGTATTTGAGTCAATTACTTGTTCGGCTCGCGCCTTTTTTAGATATGCATCCTTCAGTTTATGTTCCAAGTTGCGTACTTCAGGAAAGTCCCGAACAAACAGAAGCATTTTTTCATCTTTGGTAATCTTAGCTTGCTGCTCTGCTAACTCAGCAGCTAACGCTTCATCTTCCCTACAGGCACGTGCCCTTTGTTCTCGTCGCGCAATAAAATCAGCCTCTTCTTTTTGTCTTGCTAGCTCAGCCTGTACCGCTTTGTAATGGTTAACACGGCGCAGCCGTTCTGCACGAGCTTCACAGGAGCTCATAATATCTCTACTACTACTAAAGAACGCTTGTTTTACAATTTTTATCACTGAAAGCAATTAAAAGATCCTACAAGTAGTCTCAGTAAGAAGAGAGACTTACCTACAGCGCGAACTTATGAGTGCGTGTGGAGTAACGTCGAAAAAATGGCTCGGACAAAAGAAGAAGTAGTGCAGCAAGCGAAAATATAAATTAAAAGGAATTGACCAACAAAATCTATATTAACGAAAAGTTTATAAAAAAAAAGTCGAAAAAAATGTTGAAGCATCAAGGTTCCGATAATGATGGGCCCATTTCGATATTAGGATCATTCGTCATCCCTACTACAGCATTCAGTATCGGTTATTCATTATCATTCTATCATCTCAAGCAACTATGATGGCAAAATAAAATAACCTTAAAAATAGAGAAAATTAAAAGGACAACTCTCTGAAATGTTAAGACAACATGGTGCTTTAACTTTTTCCCTTTGGTTCACTTTCCGATCCTCTAATCAGAAGTAGAGGTTTTTGTGTAGTCCATTGCAATTACGCAAAGCTTTAATATTATAGATATAAATAGATAAATACGTGGTATATGAGCAATGAACATAGAATATATAATGCAATATAGTCGAAATAGGAGGAAAGTAAAAAAAAGGGGGGGAAACCTTAACACTAAAGAAGAAAACTCAAAGTTCGAGCTTCATACCCAATTCACCCACTCACACATAAGTACAGTAGCGAAAAAAAAAAGACATACTTCCTAAATCTGTTTCCTAGTGTTTTTCAGCTCTTTTCACTTGCAGACACCGTCTATATAACAATCTTCATGGGTCAAATGCCCTGAGAAGGCCTACTTTCAGGGATAAATTCCTCAGATGGTGGCGGCTGAACTTCACTGCGTTCGAAATGAGGATCGAATTGATCCAACATAATCAAACGGGGTAATCTATTATCCTCCATAGCCTGTCGATACTCACGGCCAACCAATCGGCCGTAGTCAGAAACATATTTGCTTTTTTTTGAATAAAGCACAACTAACGGAAGACTTTTCGCAGTCTGATAACGATAATGTAAGGCTGCAATAGCCGCATCACCGTCATCTATAGATGAAAATGTCACTTCCGCAAAACGATTGTGTCCCTTGTTATTAATGGTCACCTGTTGAACCTCCCCATAAGATGAAAATAGGCGCTCCAAATATTGAGCATTGGCAACATAAGACAAATTTCCGACAAATAGGGTTACTGAATGCGGCATATTAGAACAACTAGAATATAATTAGTATTCTTTTCTACTTTATTCGGGTCTAGATTTACCGGATGGACCTGATCAGTTTATTCTTGTTGTTTAACCTTTTCTGGATTCTATACAAAGAAAATTACCTTCACACTATTAATAATGAGGCGACCCACATAAAGACTAGTAATAGCATACCAAGATTTGGAAAAGGAACAGAAAGGGCAAATCAAAATTGGCTACATTTCGAAAAAATATAAAACAACAAAAGCAAGGATGGATTGAGACCCTTAAACGTTAATAAAGGTCAATTTTGAGTAATTCGGTGAGCGCACTCCAGTATTGATATAAAGATATTTTACATTGAAAGTGCGCTTTTTCCTCTTTCCCTTCAAAAAGAAATGCTAATACACAAAAGACACAGCCTCCGGAACCCATTACACGTCTTGAATTTTTAAGATGACGGCTTGCGGTTTAACTTCATGTGTGCGCTGAGAAGATGCCCCGCCGCAAGGCCGGAGATGAGGGAAAGCTCCCCACACAGCACCGCCCCCGCGATAACACGAGAGAGCTGACGCGAGTTCGCACCCGGGTTTTTTTCATTAGCCCCGGCGCACTCCATCATTTTCAGAAGAGCCTTTTGGGCCGCCAGCCCGGTCCCACCCCCGACAGTCCCGACCTCAATACTCGGCATAGTGACGCTGATGAGGAGGTCGTCGTCCTGCCGATCCATTGTGGTGAGGCAGGCCGAGGATTCCACCACCTGCGCGGGGTCCTGCCCGGTCGCGATGAAAATAGCCGCCACCACATTCGCGGCGTGCGCATTGAAGCCCCCGATTGACCCCGCGAGGGCGGATCCGATGAGATTCTTGTCAACATTCAGCTTCAGAACCCCATCAACCGAACATTTTAGGACCCGCTCCATGGTTTCGGCCTTGATCACAGCCTCCGCGACGACTGTCTTGCCGCGACCCTCGATCCAGTTGATAGCCGATGGCTTCTTGTCAGTGCAATAATTGCCAGAAAGGGCAAGCACACGGATGGATGGAATATGTTCCTTCAACACCTCCAGCGCCTTATCGCAGCCCTTGGTGATCATGTTCATTCCCATCGCGTCACCCGTGAAAGCCGTAAAGCGGACGTAAACCTTATGCCCCGCGATGACACATTTCACGCTTTTCAGCTTGCCAAAGCGAGTCGTCGACTCAAAAGCCGCCTTTAGACAATCAAACTTTTTCTCACAAAACTTGTAGACCTCGGCCGCCTCCTTGAGGCTGTCCACCTCCACGACCGGTGCGCGGGTCATGCCCTCTTTCAGAAGAAAGGTTGAGCAGCCCCCGCTTTCGCTGATAGCGCGCGCGCCACGGTGGGTGCTCGCGATGAGGGCCCCCTCCGTCGTCGCCATGGGCAAAGCGACTTCCTTTCCGTCCAGCAAAAGGGGCCCGGCCATACCCACGGGGATCGGCACGTAGCCAAGGATGTTCTCGCAGCACTGGCCTACCACGCGCGGCCAGTCGTAGCCCCGAAACGGCACCTTTTCAAGAAGGTGCGAGGACACCGTGGAGGGGCACATCTTCTCCTGCACTATCTCGCGACGAAGAGCAATGGCTCGTTCATAATCCGGGGCGAGGGCTTGTTCAAGACCGTAGAACGGCAACTTCTTCTCCGCCACAGCTATTTTGATGACATCGTTCGACTGGTCTCTCCATGGGCATTTGCTAGACATTGTTTTTGTAGCCAAAAATAGATTTCTCCGCATGTAGTCTGAGGGGATAAAGAAAGGTTGCACTAGAAAGGAAAATGTACGAATCACTTGATATGAATGATCAATAATAAAAAAGGTTATCAATGAAGGGGTTAAAAAAAAAAGCAAAGGAAATAATAAAGTGGTTAATCAAAGATAATCCATTATACTAAATTTTAGTAGAATTGATATATACAGATGTCATTTTTATAAATTTATAAAATGATGGAAAAGAAGTTTACCAATTGTACTTTAAATGCAAGCACTTACTTTTTGGTGGCCGGACGGTATGGAACTTTGCAGGTGTGGCGGATCTTACGGTTTTTCACAGGGCGCGCACGCACAGTGCGATTGTGAATCGCGCACGCGATACAGAAACGCTGCTTCATGTAGAGCTTTGGCATCGGGAAACCTACGCTGTAGATCGGGGAGGCCTCCGCCACGTCGCGGGCCGAGGCGGCGTCTAACATCCGACGCACCACAAAGCGGCCCACAGCCTTATCCTTCGGTGTCAGACGGCCGCAGTTGAAGCAGTGCACTGGTTTAACGCGCCCGCGGCTGTGCGGCGGCTTCGCGCGACCGTGATTGCGACGTTTGGTGGTCATCTTCCTGATATTTACGTATATTTATTTTTTTGTAAAAAAAGCACATATGAACAATAAGAAGGAAATTAAGCAACATATAAATCGTGTTTTGAGAGAAAAAAATATTTTATAAGCCAGGTGTAGTCCATATTTTGAAAATATATATGAAGCAGTATTCTTAGGAAAGTATCAGGCATAAATCCTTCGAATAGTCGTACACAATTTTCTACTTAATATTAAGCGAACTTGGTTTGAATGCTGCTGAAATACCCAATACATATGTCGAACTTTCAAGGATTCATCAGTGAATAATTGTGTAATGGCATTGGCTATGAAAGTTTAAAAATTAGCAGAATTATCGGTGGTAGTCCAGAAGTTTCATACTTCGCAACGATCATGTACGCACAAAAATTCAACGACCTTATTCTTGATTAAATTTGAAGAAATCACCTTTTATACGATTCTTCAACGAAAAGGAGATAACAACCCTTTAAGAAAATGTTACTATGTCCTGTTTCTAGAAGTAATTAGTGAAATAGAAAATCTATCATTTAAAACACATAGATGTCTAAGCTTAAATAGTGACTCAACTAATTTGCTTCAAACTATAGTTCAACTGGATAGATCTATCTATTGGAATTTACCAGATTTTTTTTAAATAGAATATGCTCATAAATAGCGTATATATATCATATATTCTCTAATCCTTGGTTGAAATAAAAAAAAGTACAA